GAATTTGCCATCTACCCAGCTCCCCAGGTTTCCACGGCCGTGGTGGAGCCCTACAACTCCATCCTGACCACTCACACGACCCTGGAGCATTCTGACTGTGCCTTCATGGTGGACAACGAAGCCATCTATGACATATGTCGGCGCAACCTGGACATCGAGCGTCCCACGTACACCAACCTCAACCGTCTGATTGGGCAGATCGTGTCCTCCATCACGGCTTCCCTGCGGTTTGATGGGGCCCTGAATGTGGACTTGACAGAATTCCAGACCAACCTGGTGCCGTACCCTCGCATCCACTTCCCCCTGGCTACCTACGCCCCGGTCATCTCAGCCGAGAAGGCCTACCACGAGCAGCTGTCTGTGGCTGAGATCACCAATGCCTGCTTTGAGCCGGCCAATCAGATGGTCAAGTGTGATCCTCGCCATGGCAAGTACATGGCCTGCTGCATGTTGTACAGGGGGGACGTGGTCCCAAAAGATGTCAATGCTGCCATTGCCACCATCAAGACCAAGCGCACCATCCAGTTTGTGGACTGGTGTCCAACTGGATTTAAGGTAAGAGTGGAAGAAGTTGGATCCTTGTACCTGTCAGCCAGCAGCAGGCCTGCAGAATAATGCTACCCCTATGGGCTCATGTCCTTTTATGAGATTGCACTTGTTTAAGTCAGCTAGGCAGCATAAACAAGTTTATTAGTTAGTTTGTTAAGTGCCTTATACTTTACCAAATACCTTACGTACCCTTAGTTTTTACCACCACCCTTTTCAAGTTCATGGGGTCATGTTACCAGTCTCTTAACACTTTAGAAGACTAAGCTGAGACAGTTTTAAATTTGCAAACCCTCCTGAACAGTGAGTTCTGGGAGAAATTTATTGATGATCTTTTTTTTATTTTTTATATATATATTTTTTGAGACAGAGTCTCAGTATATCACTCTTGGTTGAGTGCAGTGGCATCACAGCTCACAGCAACTTCAAACTCTTGGGCTTAAGCGATTCTCTTGCCTCAGCCTGCCAGTATCTGGGACTATAGGCACCTACCACAACGCTTGGCTATTTTCTTGTTGCAGTTTTCATTTTTGTTAGCTGGCCTGGGCCAGGTTTAAACCCACCAGCCTCAGTGCATATGGGTGGTGCTGTAAACACTGTGTTATGAGTGTCGAGCCTCTGGGGAAACATTTAAAGATAGATGGTCTGGAGCTGGGTGTAGTGGCCTGCACCTCTCATCCCAGTTATAGGCTGAGGCAGGAGGATTACTTGAGGTCAAGAGGTTGAGACCACCTTGGGCAACAAAGCAAGACCTCACATGGGCAGGCAGGGAGAAAGAGAGAGCTTGAATGTAGGTCCTGGTGTCCACTACTCCCTTTAGAGATTTTCTAAGTTCTATGCTATCATTTTTGTATGTTAGAAATGGTGGTTTTTACACTTTCCATAACCTTATCTGTTATCACTAAATTTGGGGCAATGCTAATGTTTCTATAAATGGAATTTTAAGTGCATTATGCAGTGTTTTTTTATTTTCTATTTTTTGAGACAGGGTCTCACTTTGTCACCTGGGCTAGAGTGCATTGTTATCCTCATAACTCAATTACATAGTAGTGTTTTCTTTGGAGACCAGAGTGAGTATCTGCTCTTTATCCAAACCAGACTTCCTCACTCACAAAATCACCTAGATCTTTTCCTCACACACAAAATCACGGATAATTAGGGGTCTCCTTCAGGCATGTTTAGTGTCATGATGGAATTGTCTACTAAGGAGAAAGAACCATGTATTTAGAAGGCAAGTAATAGACTGTTAGGCTCTGACACCCTTTGTGATTGCCGAGGTACATGACTCACCCCATCTGTGTTGATCAACTTTGTGCCCTCTGGTTTGTTTTTTTAGAGACAGAATCTCACTTTGTCACATTTGGTAGAGTGCCGTGGTGTTATAGCTCACAGCAACCTGCAGCTCTTGGGCTTAGGCCATTCTCTTGCCTCAGCCTCCCGAGGAGCTGGGCCTACAGGCGCCCACCACAATGCCCAACTATTTTTTGTTGCAGTTTGGCCGGGACCGGGTTTGAACCTGCCACCCTTGGCATATGGGGCTAGCACCCTATTCACAGGCACCACCCTGCCCTCTGGTTTGTTAACAGCCTACAGTCATTTTCCACATTAGACAAAGCTATAGACCCCAATGAGTTTCTCAGGTGTTGGGGGGAGAACTGCAAGTTCGGGGGTCATTCCTGATTGAAAATGACTTGAAAAATATTATTTTGTATGTCTTCTTGTTTCCACGTGGATAGCCATAGCTTACCTCTGACCACACATAACTTGAACTTGTCTGGCCTTTGTAAGCACCCCTTTACAACACTTTGACACAGACCATCTCTATTTTTCATCTCACCTTAATACAGATTATCAGCTCAGCGCCTGTGGTTCAAGTGGCTAAGGTGCCAGCCACGTACACCCAAGGTGGTGGGTTCGAATCCAGCCTGGGCCGCCAAACAACGACGGCTGCAACAAAAAAATAGCCAGGCGTTGTGACGGGCGCCTGTGGTCCCAGCTGCTCGGGAAGGTGAGGCAGGAGACTCGCTTGAGCCCAGGAGTTAGAGATTGCTGTGAGCTGTGATGCTACAGCACTCTACCCAGGGGGACAACTGGACGCTCCTGCCTCAAAAAAAAAAAAAAAATACAGATTATCCTTTTTGTTTGTTTTTGAGACAAAGTCTCACTATGTCACCCTTGGTAGAATGCCATGGCATCACAGTTCACCACAACTTCAAACTCTTGGGTTTAAGGAATTCTCTTGCATCAACTTCCCAAGTAGCTGGGTCTACAGGCGCCCTACCACAATGCCCCGCTATTTTTTGTTGCAGTCAAAATTGTTGTTTAGCTGTCCTGGGCTGGGTTCAAACCTGCCACCTTGGTGTATGTGGCTGGCGCCCTAACCACTGTGCTACAGGTGCTGAGCCCAGATCATCCATATTTTTAAGTTGATAGATCTAAAGTGACTCAGAAAGGATAAAATCTATGTTTTACCAACCTGTAAATACTTAAAAAATCTTACACAGGAAAAGCTGAGTGCAGTGGCTCATGCCTGTCTGTAATCCTTTGTGGAACTGAAGTGGGAGGATTACGTGAGACCAGGTGTTTGAGACCAGCCTGAGCAAGACCTATCTCTATAAAAAATAGAAAAATTAGGTGTGGCAGGCACCTGAGATCCCAGCTACTGGGAGGCTAAGGCAGGAAGATTTCTTGTGCCCAGGAGTTTGAGGTTGCTGGGAAATATGATTCCACTACAGTCTAACCCTGCGGTTCTCAACCTGTGGGTCACGACCCATAGGAACTGTATTAAAGGGCTGCGGCATTAGGAAGGTTGAGAACTGCTCTAGCCCAAACAACAGAGACCCCTAGCTCACACACACAAAAAAAACTAAAGATGTTATAGGTAGGAAGTGAAACTTCCTATTCTGGTTCTAATTACTGAGCCTCTCCACTTGAGCAGAGTAATTTTTCTTTTTTTTTTTTTTTTTTGAGACAGAGCCTCAAGCTGTCCCCCTGGGTAGAGTGCCTTGGCATTACAG